AAAAAACAAAAACAAAAACAAAAAAAACAGGGTCATTACCCACTCTGCATAATACCAGGAGGATTAGAGATAATCAATGTCTATTTGTCAGTGCCTGAAAAATATGGTGTTCAATAGATAGGAAGTGATTTCTTTTAACCAAATAAAGGAACTTCATGAAATAACCCTATTAGATTTCCACACCCTGCTCAACCTATCTTAAGCAGAATGACTTATATTCATGTCATACAACACACACACAGAAATCAGAGACTAATTCAATATGAATTCACACATCAGTTTTTCCCACTGCAGAACAGGGACAAATCCTATCTCCCTTTCCTTAAACTTGCCACAAATTGTAAAGGTTAAGATTGGGAAGCCTCTTTTAGCTTCTGGGAAATGAACATAGGGCTGGTGGTGGTGGTGGTGGCTATGACTGTCATGATTCTGAAACTGGCCTCAAAGTCCTGACTCTACAAAAACAGGGAAGGGATATTCACAGAAGTAAAGTAGGGAAAATGCTCTTAAAGAGAAATCCAGTTATCTATGACTAACTGCAAAGATCTCAAAGCTGACCATGAAAAACAATGAGCTCAGAAACAAGACCAGATCCAAAATCAGGGCTTAACACATCATCCATTTAATGTACAACAAAGAGGAAAAATTCCACCTGGGAATCTTTATAATCTGATGGCTAACATATTATGCATTTTTCATCACCATTTCAGCATTTTCAGTCTGGAGCAGTTGTTTTGCTTTGGCCTCGATTCCCCACCTGTAGACTTCAGGGCACTGCAAGAGGTCTGTAGGCTGAATTCCTATCTCATACGTACATGTAATGCTATTTTACAAACACAGGAAGATGATGAAGTCATTACTTGCAATATATACTCAGCTGAGTGATATTAAATAACTCTCATGAAACATTTGCAATTATAAGAGATACGAAGTAAAACAGTGAACCAGTTAAGATCATTGAAATATTTTAATATTAAATAAAAGCTTCCTGATTTTCGTAAGTGTCAGGAGCCACTGCATTATAGTTTACAATTTGACTAAGAAGGTATTTTTTACTTTATAATATACAAGAAGGGAAAAAAAGTTTTGAAAAAATGAAATCTTAACTTGCATTTATTTCCACTCCTAGTCCCCTCTTGGCCATTAACTTTTCCTTGGCATTTAACATCAAAGCTAGTTACTCTTTCATTTTTAGCCTTTCTGTTGGAAGAGATACACGGCTAGTTCACAAGCCACTGCAACTCACCAACAGACAGAAAAGGCAGTGCACTGTGTATTAGGGAACCATATATGTATCATTTCATTCCTCCCTTATAATAGAATGAGCTCTCATTTCCTCCGTTTTGCTCCTCCTTTACCTCCTCCTCTCCCTGAGGGTTTTGACCACAGTTTTACAGAGGGTAAGTTATAGGCCACTATGAATATTCCAATTATTGCAGAGAAAACAAATATCTTATCCAACACTTATGAAAAATGTACTCCAAATTTTAATTTGCAGTACAACAAATTAAACCATAATTTTACAGTTTAGTTAATGGTGCAACATTAAAACCATAACTACAGAGAGTCTCAACTTTAAGTGCTACAAAGGTAAGGAAATAAACTTACTTGCATCTAAGGAATGTTACAAAAATATCTAATCTATAATTTAAAGTTACATGGGTTTGCTTACGTTGTTCTGTAATGTGAACCCCTCAGTGGATTACCGTGAGCTGGAATGAAAGCGTAGGAGATGTGCACGGTGGTAGTAGTGGGGACTGGAGAGTCATATATATCATTTACTAATTAATTAATTTTCTGGGATAAAAACTGCCCTAGGAGTAAGCCAGAAGAGGTTGTTTAAATTCTAAAAAATTAAAATATGGTAATCTGATCCCTTGGAAAGATACTTACTCACTAAAACCTGACAAAAGATACCTGTAAATTAAAATATACTACTAGAATTTTGGCAGCAGAATACAAATCACATTTGTGCAAACACAGCTAAATCTAGTCACAGACACACAGGAAGTGTAAATTTCAAATATGAAAAAAAAAAAAAACTGCTTTAAAAATGAAAACAAGCCTTGAGCTCTGGGCAGAGCCTGAGTGAAGAGGAATAACGAAAAACCTGGAGATTCGGTAAGGCAATCCAGCTTTCTTTCGGAATGGCGAAGGACCACCTGAATCAGCACTGCCACCTCTTCCTTAGGCAGCAGCTTTCCAGACTACAAAAGAGCCATGGATTACATCAAAGGACCCTTGTTCAGGTACCAACAACTCCATTTACTAATACGACCACTGACAAGTTACATCTCATCAGCCTGTTTCCTCTCTCCATAAACTGGAGAAAATGAATCCTACTTCACCACATCACTGAAAGGAGCAAGAAGAGTTTACCTCTGTTGAAGGGAGTAAAAAAAAAAAAAAAAATCATATATACTGTGTAAATAGAAAATGACAATCTAAAGGCCAGTTATGATTTCTGAGTTTAAATATCACTAGAATGGAAGGAGACTCTGTTCTAAATGGGAGAGAGATTTTGAGGCTCACAAAAGCTGTTTTACTGTATCTTAGAGCAGAGTGACAGATGCTAAAGAAAGTCCCCAAATAAATTAATAAACTGGGAGGGGGGGAGTGCAAAGAACACACATAGGTATAAAAGTAGAGGCAGCGACTGGGTGCAGTGGCTCATGCCTGTAATCCCAGCACTTTGGGAGGCCCAGGCAGGTGGATCACGGCGTGAGGAGTTTGAGACCAGCCTGACCAACATAGATAAACCCCCACCAATACTAAAAATACAAAATTAGCTGGGCGTGGTAGCGTGTGCCTGTAATCCCAGCTACTCGGGAGGTTGTGGCAGGAGAATCACTTGAACCTGGGAGACGGAGGTTGCAGTGAGCCATGATCACAACACTGCACTCCAGCCAGGGCAACAAGAGTGAAACTCCTCTGTCTCAAAAAAATAATAATAAATAAAATAAAAAATAAATAAAGTAGATGCAAAACACTATGGTTGTACAGGTCTTTCAAGAATCTCTCTTGACTGGCTGAGTGTGGTGGCTCACACCTGTAATCCCAGTATTCTGGGAGGCCAAGGTGGGCAGATCACTTGAGGTCAGGAGTTCGAGACCAGCCTGGCCAACATGGCAAAATCCTGTCTCTACTAAAAATACAAAAATTAGCTGGGTGTGGTGGCGCATGCCTGTAATTTCAGCTGCTCGGGAGGCTGAGGCAGGAGAATCGCTTGAACCCAGGCAGCAGAGATTGCAGTGAGCCGAGATCGCGCCACTGCACTCCAGCCTGGGTGACAGAATGAAAATCCGTCTCAAAATAAAAACAATCTCTCTCGATTACTTTCTCACTTTTCATGACGTATTTGGCAAGAGGCATAAACACAGCCATCTCACAATTAAATTCAAACTTAAGAAGTCCATGTCTGTCTAGGAATGATAAGTTTAATTGTTCAGTTTTCATAGTGCATTTTGGCTACGTAATGCCATATACTTAATGAGTACATGTTTTGTACTCAAGCTGGTAAATTTGTACCACCCTGGTAAATTTTCCTTTCAAAGCAAACTTAATTATGTAGTAAATATGTTTTATGAAATTTTCAGCATCAGAATGCTATAGTCAGCATGCCACGTCATGAATGTAAATTCTACACCTAACCCTGACTCCTTAGATGGCTTGGCTACCCAATAAAGTGAAAGCATGCAGTGTATGTGATACTGTGCTACACAGATGCACTTTTCCTCTGTGCTACAGGGAGAGACCTTCTTTGGCAGAGTCTCACTTTCCTCCCCTCTAGTCATATGCTCACATCCCTTCCTCGGAAATAAAAAGAAGATGCCACTGGCCTTAATAGGACTCAAACATTTAATTTGAGGCCATATAATGATCCCGTCAAACTGATTCTTCTTAGCCATCCCACTCCCCTTAGTGTCCTCCTCAAGACTGGAGTTTCACCAGGTAGATAAACAGGCGGTAAAAGAAGGTTAGGCTTTCACTGAGGGGAGAAGTCAATCTGAGTTAGTCTGGAGAAAGAGGAGCTGCCAGGGAAATAAAGATGGAAAACGTCTGTAGCATAAAACCAACCCTAGCGTTTTATTCTCCTTCTATGAACATTTGAGATGGAACACGAAGTGAATGTGAAATTAAAATCTACCTGGTGAATTTGAGAAAAGTCACTCTCAATTTTACTTTGATGACAAATGGAATAAATAAAGACGCCTGGCTCATATGTTAAAGTACCTTGTGTCTCGGCGAGGAAGCCTGGCTAAGAAACCACAGTGGAGTTAACAAGCCAGACAGCAGACTAAACACCTCAGAACTCGCTGCTGTGCCTCATTCCCGGTCCCTACCTTTCCGGTGTGTGTCTGCATCACTAATTCCCTCCGTTTGGCACGGCCTGGCTTTCCCAAAACAGAAACCAAGGAACCGGGGTCCTCTGCTTCAGCAGCTGAAGAGCTGATTTCTGAGCACGGACACTAAGATTCTTTTCTCCTGTCCACCTTACACTTCACCCACAACTCATCCTCCTCTTCCTCTTCCTCTTCCCTACGTCCCAACCCCTTACCCTCACACTACCCTACCTCCCAGGACATTTATGTGCATGACCTCAGACCAGCAAGGGAGGAACAAAGAGCTGCTGCTTCAAGCAGCGGCAGCCCGAGGAGAGGGTGGAGAGGGTAGCTGGGGGCTCCAGGAAGACTCCCCGGGCACTGGCAACCCCAGCGCAGCCCGGGGCAACCCAGCCTGGAAAGAACACTAGAAGAGTCCTGGCAGGCGGGTCCGCAGTGCAAGCCCAGGGCCTTCCCCCGGCCCGAAGCCAGGGCGGCAGCAGCCAGAGTTTGGCAGAGACCCTGGGTGAGAAGCCAGTGGTGGGGGGCGGGCAAGTGAAGCTGCAGTACAGAGCTGGAGATGCAGAGCCGACAGTAGCAGCGCTTCGTGCCATGGACTTCCCCACCCGCGCCCTGGACCCAGACCCGCGCCCTGGACCCGGACCCGGCCCTGCGCACCTGGACCAAGCGGCCACCCTGTTCCCTCAGGGCTCTCTCTGGGGACTCGGCTTGGGCGAGCTCCGGAGGCTGGAACCGCGGCGACGAGAGACTTCACTCCTCCATCCTGGGACCCGGCAGCACGTTATAGACAGCCGTGCACTTCCTGTTTGAAAACACAGGAGAGAGAAAGAGCGAGAGAGATCCGAGTGTCGGCAGCGGGGAGGAAGGAGCTCAGGGCGGCGGGGAGCCAGGACCAGGGGGCCACCGCTTGCATAACTGCCATGGTAGGCACCCAGCGCTCCCCTGGCCGCGGCGACCCCGCCGCACCGGCTGCCCGCGTGGTGCCGAGGTGGCGCGGCCTCGGCCCGGGCCCCCCCTGCCGGTGGCCTCGCTGCCAGCCGCCCGCCCGCCCGCTCGCTCGCTCACAGTCCTTCCGTTTGCAGCTGCTGGTTGGGTTCTCCCCTCCCCACAAGGACCTAGATCAAGGGACTCCACGCTTCCTCCGCCAGTGCCCAGAGTGGTTGGCCTTCTTTTTCCTCTTTTCTTCACCCCCCCAACCCCCACCCCACCCCCAGAAAATAATCACCTCGGGGAAAGTGTAAAGACAAGACTGAGCCTTTGCAGGGGGGTGGGGGCTGGATTTATGCAAATTTTCAAAGTTAATAGCCACATCCCAGTATAGCCACTACAGCTCAGCAGCTGTGAGAGATTCAGGATGGGAAATTACTTGTCTTGTGCCTCGCTGGCTCAAAAGAGAAAGCGTGCACACAGCTGCCAACACTGAGCAGCCAGGAACTGCAGAACAACAGTAACAACAAAACTACATAGTATCCTCCGTTCCTCCTAGGATCTTTATTCAGATCAACCTGTCAACCTCATCCTCACAGTCTACCAACATTTACATATACCAATTCCACATGGAGCATAATCGCATGGTGCATTCTTCCAGAAAATGATTCCGTAGTTCTCTGTGCTATGTAATCACCGAGAAGTTCCATAGTCCTAGGATTACATTCATTCATTTTGTTGAACTCTGACTTAAGTGGACTTCAGTATAGTGTTAAAAAGAGTACATAGATGGCTTAAGAATCTGCTGTATGCAGAGTGTGCCGGCTATGGTGATTCGCATTTGTAACCTGCCTGCCCTTACATGCACAGTCTACCAGGTTACAAAGCGCTTACAGGACTATCTCTGACAAACGGCTCCTTTTATCATCAAGTTGTTGGCATTCATGGTTCCATACTCAAAATGGAGAATGGAATACAAACAATAATTATTCTACATATAAAGCTCAGTTTTGATTGAAGCAGAAAGGAACTGATAGATATTAAGCTCCTATTCAGTGCTAGACAACTTCACATTTTAAACCCCTCTTGGCCTTAATATTTTCCAACAGATCTGCAAAAGCCCTATTCCCAAGTGAGGAAACGGTCAGAGAAATTAAGTAACTGTTCCCATGTCTCTGCTAGAGAGTGGTCAAATGGAGAACTGAATATAGGTCTTTCCTGATTATAAAATCTGCACCATTTCCCCTACACTGCGAATTCCTACAATGATCATGAATTTTTTTTTTTTTTTTTTTTCTGAGACAGAGTGTCGCTCTGATGCCCAGGCTGGAGCGCAGTGGCGTGATCTCAGCTCACTGCAACCTCTGCCTCTCGGGTTCAAGCAATTATCCTGCCTCATCCTCCCGAGAAGCTGAAACTACAGGCACACGCTACCGTGCCCAGCTAACTTTTTTGTACTTTTAGTACAGATGAAGTTTCACAATGTTGGCCAGGATGGTCTCGATCTCCTGACCTCATGATCTGCCCACCTCAGCCTCCCAAAGTGCTGGGATTACAGGCGTAAACCACCATGCTTGGCCAATGATCATGAATTCTAGGGGGAAAGTTCAGCACAGCAACCATCCTGTGATCCATCCCTTCCTCTCTGAATGATCCTGCTACTTACCAGCTATTGTTGTTGTGCTAGGCAGTTTCTTTAACCACCTGAACAATACGTACCTTAATTTCTCGGGCAGAGGACACTGGCTTTTTCCATTATCTACTGCTTGCTGTCAGTCTTTTCAGAATTACTTGGTGGCAAAAGTTCAAAAGGTTCTAGAATCGCTACTCATATGCCAAGGTACAAAGTCTGTCCAGTTCAGAACCTAACGAGCTGACTAAAATTTGCTCCCTGCATTATTTTTTCTCTAACTGAGACTCTTTAAGAAAGTGGTAAATGCTGTTCACAAAAACACACACGGCTTCAAGTTGACATTCCCTCATTTTCTGTTGCCTTCTGCTTTAACACTTAGTTCACAATCACCTGTCAGTAGCATGCTGCTATGAGCTCCCGATGCAGGCCAAGAAACAGAACACAAATGAAAAGGTGATTAAGAGTCTTGTGCGCTCAAAAAAAAAGGGGGGGGGGTCTTGACAATACTGAGGCCTCTAAGACGATGAACTATACCTCGCCCACCCTTTTCTCTCCACCTCACAGGCTTGAATTGTAGTGCACTCAGATGACCATGGCCTTCAAGTACAAAGGCATGGGCTGGGAAGAAGACTGCAAGGACCAGTGAGATGCATTCCTGTCCATTAGGCACTCACAGTCTAATGAGGGCTTCTTACTAAAAGACTTCTCGAGGGATCTTAGCATCCTTTTAGGGTCTAGCTCTGTCCACCTTTTTCCTTCTCTCAGTCCTTTGCTTACCGTGGTCCTGGCAACTCTTCATCTCTTTCACAAACTTAATACTTCTTCCCAAAGAGCTACCACATATTTCCCACAAAGAACTCAGTGTGGTGATTGGGGGCGGGGTGAAGCAGGACATTTAGCTAGAAACTTCTCTCATTTAAAAAACCCTGTCAATTATTACCATGTTTTTAAGGACACAATTATGTTTTGAAATAACTTTGGGTATCCCTCCTTTATTTCTGTTACTCATTATCTAAGAGCCCAAAGGAAAACCTCTGAAGAAAAATATTTAAATTCTTAAGAAAAGGCAAAGGAAAACTTAAACCTGCAGAGCCTTTGTTTTTTATATTTGGGACTCATGAGATTAGACTATCTAACTTCTTAAAATCTCTCTTAGTTAGGAAAAATTCAAAGTCATTAATCTAAAAACAGTCAACAGTAGACTATTCCTATTTTGTCCAAGTACTGTACTGAGTGATAATTTAATGATATATAGGAAAGTTTGTATGGTTTAATAGGTAACAAAATGCAGAAGAGCATTTGGTGGGAGACTAACAATGGTATTCACCTATGTTGCTATGTCCACGCCCAAATGTGTAATACTCTCCCCTCCAGAGCAGTGGCCAGCTGTGGGGGAAGGGCAGCCACATTTCTCTTTCTTAGGCTCCCTATAAACCCAAACCCTTCTCCTTATCAAAAATATTTATTAACATTCACTCTGTAGGACTCCCAAAGTTTACAGTTTGGAGAATACACCACAGCCCCTGACATTTCCTAATCCTAACTACCATAAGGCCTGAACACCACCTCGTACTTTCCCTGGGTCAGCTATTCGCCCGTTCCTTCTGTGTTTCATGGAGAAGCGTTTCTTTCTCATAGCCACTGTTATGCTTTTGTGTGTATGTGCACGTGTGTATATATAAATTAAAATCACAACCTCATAAAAAGAAAAACTGCACTCTCAGGTAGGCACAAATGATGCCACAAAAGATTTTGGAAAAATGTGGAAGGTTCACTTTGAAAATCTCCACTCCCTAAGTACCATAATCCCCAGATGAAGAGAGCAACACTGTGAAAGCCATTTTAGAAGCTCCAAATTCAGTTTCAAGAAATAGCTTTTCTGAGGACTAATGGGTGTAGAGGAGGAGATGATAAACTCATCTCTAAAAAACAATGCTGCTTATCTTTCTTCATCTTTAAAAAGAAAGATCTTAGTTTGGTGGTTAAAAATGTTTGCCACAAGCAGTTCTTTGTGTGAATATCAGGATTCTTGGTGATTGTTACACATGGATTTTGCAAACAAGAAAATAAAAAAATGACAAGCTGTCTGGTGACTGAAGAGATGACCTGTTTGCACTGTCAGTCTTCACAGCAGTGTCCCTACCTTGTCTTCACCTCCTGGGTAGCACATGCAACAGGATTTTCTGGGAAGGAGGTCTCTGGCACTCACATTCACCTCCTGGCCTCTGCAAAACCTGAACTGTGGCTTTCAAGGAAGCCTTTCTCAGAGCCAACTGGCTGGCCTGATTGGCATTTACCCATAGAGGATTATTAGCCATCTTTAAGAAACCAGAGTAAGTATCATTTCACATGACAAAATGCAGCAAGGGGTTGCAAATCATCTTTAAAAAAAAATATGCCTGTAAGATAGTTTCCTGGCTTTGAGCCAGCAATAAGGAAAGCACTACTTAAAGCACCCCACAGCATGACTTAGAAGATCCAGTCACAAGGCAGAAACATAGGGCCAGGGTGGCTACAGGTCTGAGCTGGTATCTCTCTAAGCTCAGTGCTTCAATTTCCTCAGCTTCCAAACACACGCAATGAACCCACACACCTTGCACAAAATTACTAACATTACATAGGACAAACCCTCACAGGCCCTGCCTCAATGAATTCTCAGAACTGCCTTCGCGGGGAGGTGTTATCATTAATGTTTTACAGAAGCAGCAGCGGGGCTCACAGATGCTAAGCGATATTCTCAAAGCCTTAAGTAATGGAGCAAAAATTCACCTGGGTCTGTTCTTCCTTCTTTTAATTGAATAGAAATGAGTGGGCGCATTTTAGCTGTGGATATATTATTCTGCACTACATATCTTTTGCTCAGAAAAAAATCCCACCTTAAAAACATAACTTGTAATGTTCTCTCTCAAGTGCATCATACACCGTCATCACCTTGCCAGATTTTGGTACAGTGTAAAGGATAAACATGTATTCTGCAATAGGCCAACTGACATTAAGCCATAGGAATATAAGTAGATATAAATTAAGTAAAATATGCACTTGAGCTGCAGCTGAATATTATTCTATAAAATAGTAAGACAGATCCACTGATCAAACTGTGATAAACAAAATCTTAATACATTTTTCCAAGCTTCCTCTCTCATTCTTCAATTAGTAAGCAAAAAATGCATGTAAAGTAGGACATGTTGGTTGATGTACTGGGATTTACTAAGCATAATACTGTGAAAGAAGTGTAAGATACC